TGTTAGTTAAAGGTAGAGTTTCCATGCTTGCAGGGAGAAAAAAAGAGCTAATGTGTGAGAAGTTCACTCAGAGATAGAGAAAGATGTACAAGAGAGAGGACAAGAGAGAAAGATGAGAAACTGTTTTCAAAGGTAAAGACTGCTCAACAAGTGATGTTTGATAAATATAAATACATTTGGTAGCAAAAGGAAAAGTCCAACGTTGTACTGTCTAGGGCTTGTGAAACAGGCATGCTCGCCGCTGTGCTTCTACCCTGGATCTTAGGGTTCCAGTTCCCATTGCAACCTCTGATTATAAGGATATGAATGTGTTGACCCACTGAGTAACATTCGGGTTCTTTCTGCACAATTACAGGCTTGTACGCTAGCCAGACGCAACGCTGATGTTTTCTTGAAGTACCTGCACAGAAACAGCGTCAACATGCCTGGCATGCTGTCCCACGTCAAAGCTCCAGAGACTCAGGTTAAGAGTAAGTAAACACCTCAGAGATAACTGTCATCTTTTCTGGATCTCATTATTACAGTTTACAGGAATCATTACAAATGTTTTTTTTACACAGTTGGTATAGACCTAAGCCCCTTTCAGACATGCACTCATTGCCATTAACTCGATGGCATCTTAACATCTCTTGATGTCAGTTCCCCAGAGCTTTTAAATAAAAGTCAGGGCAGTGGTCCTTCATATGTCACTTTCAAAAGAAAACAAGTCTGAATGCATGCAGTCACAGCGATAGATGTGTTCACTGAAAATTACAGCTGCACAATTCTCTCATCTAGGTTTATTGAAGCAGTAAACACATTTACATAATAGCATTTTGTCTCAACAACACTGCTGCTAATTTGCAATAAGATAAAAGACTGTGATGGACTTTTGCTGTTCCCAGTCTGGGGGAGATCGCCCTCTTCCTGAGTATTTGTGGGAGGGTTATAGCAATTTCTCACCTCTCTTTGATTACTGCACGTATACAGTGTTACACTAAACTAGAGTTTATGCTGACTGTGGCATAAATCCATCAGTGCTTTTGTGTGTAAGGCTAATAACAAATGCACAAACATAAACATTAATATTAACAGATGTGTGAAGCTGATATGTATTCCATGGTTAAAAAGGGCTTTTTTAAAACTTTCCTTGCACCATTTGAATTATTCTGAGAAGTTTTGATTTCATGCGTTCAATTTTTTTTCCTGTGTTTGTTTGCGTGTTGAGCAGAAATTTGTAACCGACTTGAATAAACAAAGTGCTTGTGTCGATTCATCAGATATCTTGAATGAGCTGCTGCAGAGAGAAAACCGAGTGCTTCACTTCTGGACCATGAGGAAGCGGAGACTGGACCAGTGCCAGCAATATGTAGTGTTTGAACGCAGCGCCAAACAGGTGTGTGCTTGTTTATATGTGCAGTGGGAATAAGCACCATCTGATCATGAGGCTCAGCAGATAACTGCATTGTGGTGTTTGATTTACTGCAGACTGAGAAGTAGAAATAAGCCTCGTGTTTGGAGTGGGAGTATATCAGCATATTCATTTTGTTGGCGAGCAGCTGCAACTTCCATCTTGTTTTGTCTCTCTTTTTGAATTAAACAGTGAGTTAGTGTTTCTTTATAATGGCACATTCAACTGGAAGTGCTGCAAACAGCCAGTGATATGTATACATGTCTTAAGGATGGCTACCATTATGTGGCACAGGACATATAAAGGTTAGAGTTACTGGAAAGCATTTCCAAAGCATCTCTTCAACTCTTTCCCCCCCCCTACATGTCAACCCAACCTTGGGAAGTTTTTCTGTGAAGAATAAGAGAACTGAGCTAGACCAAAGTTCCAAAGAACACTCAATATTTCCCATTCAAACAAGTCTCACTTAATATTGTTTGCAGTAGCAGGTGGGATGCCCTTACACTCTACAAACTGAGCTCATAACTGGAATGCTTTATTTAAACATGGCATGAGAGAGCCAAAGCAAGTTTGAATCTGCACTCTATTTTCCTGTACTAGGGTGCCTTAGGTTGTTTAATATAAGCTACTTGGCTCCCTCTTGTGGTGTTTGGGTGTATGCACGGACCAATTCTCTTAGCCAATAAAGCCAGATGACATCGAGCGTGTTTCTAGGACATGGCTATTCTAGGCTGGTCCAGGTTTTATCCCCAGGGCCCAGGGCTTGTTTCTGGTCTCACAGTTTGACTGGACCAGTTCTGCCATCACTGGTTGGGAGGTTTCACCGGCAGACCCAGTTTTAAAGTACGCAAACACTAATAAGGATAGAAATTAAATAGGACATATTTAAAGTGAATGCTAGAAATTTAGGAACTAACTAATTATTTTAATAAGTGTTAAAGGATTGGATCTGGAGGGAAACCAAAAAACATAAAATGATGCATAATATTTCCATGTCTTATTATTTTCACAAGGTCATACTGATGTCAACTTAACTCATCCAGAATCCCATGAATGTGATCGTAGGGAATTATAAAGGGAGTCTTAGAGGCAATCTGTATGGCAGAAAATACAACAAAGAGACCACAATCAGTTTAAACGCAAGAATTATTGTTAGTTTAAATATACATATACATACTACATAATACACCAAGGGTTTATTTTTATATTCTTTTGTAGTTTTAAGTGCATTAGCTCCTCAGATTTGGGTAGTCTGTGTTAAACTAAAATCCCTTCACTGTATATGTACTCATTTGTGATTGGCTGTTTCCTCAGGCCCTGGAGTGGATCCATGACACTGGGGAGTTTTACCTGTCCACTCACACATCCACCGGGTCGAGTATTCACCACACACAGGAGCTACTGAAGGAACATGAAGATTTCCAGATCACAGCAAAGGTATGTGTGTGTACATTTATGTCTGTTTATTTATCCATAAAAGAAGGAGGACGAGCCTGTTTGCAGTTTTTTTCCTACCTGCTACTTGCTGGTTGCGTTGCGTGTATATTTGCACAGTCTCACCCTCTGCTGTGAGGCCCACTCCCAGGGCGGCATATTGTCCTGGTTCCTCTTTACTGTGTCGCTGTTATTATGTTAGGGAGCAGTCTATTGTGTCCATCAGGCAACACACTGTTTCCTAACACTCTCTCTCTTTTTCTCTGCCATCTACCTTTCCTCTGTATGGCCATCCCTCTCCACTCTGTGCCCCCTCCCTCTCTATTGACAGCAAACCAAAGAGCGGGTAAAGCTGTTGATCCAGCTGGCGGATGGGTTTTGTGACAAGGGCCACGCCCATGCCTCGGAAATAAAGAAATGGGTGTCCTCGGTGGACAAGCGCTACAGGGACTTCTCTCTCCGCATGGACAAATACCGAACCTGCCTGGAATCAGCGCTTGGCATTTCTTCCGACTCAAACAAGGCCGTGAGTGCCCATCGCTGATAACACCATATCTGATCTTTCAAGCAGCTTTAAAAATGAAATTGCACGCATATATGTGTATTTGCGAGATATAACTATGCATTATGACCGTTTGCTTCGACTTTCAGCTTTTCAAAAATCATTTTGTGCTTGATGGGATTAACATTGATATAGCCCAAATAAACTACACCTGGGCTGAATCGTGTTTGTTTAACGGCTGATAAATCACCCACTGGTGTGTGGAACTGCTGAGTGACTGATGTGGCCTGTTGTGCACCACATAATAGCCCTTGGCTCCTGTGTTTTCAGAGTAAAGAGTTGCAACTGGACATCATTCCAGCCAGTGCTCCAGGGTCAGAGGTCAAGTTGCGGGACGCTGCCCATGAACTCAATGAGGAGAAGAGGAAATCAGCACGAAGGAAAGAGTAAGCGCAGCAAACGGGCTGATTTTCTGCTTATTCCCCGGGCCATAGGTTTCAGGCACATCATTTCCAGCTAACATATAAAAACATTTTCAGCATTTTCAGTGCTGTTGACAATATCTAGCTTGAGGTTAGCTTTCATTTTATTTACTGTTAAGTAATGTGTAAATTCATGTTAAATAACCCAAACTTCATGTAAATATCATCCTGATTACCTCAGCTTCATTCAAGTGTGTACAAAAACAGTTTATAGTGCACAACGACAGAGTTATGAGCTTTAATGGCCCAACTTTGTGTTGCTGATGCTGTAAAAAATATCTGTTGTAACTACTCATAAGCAGCTATAAGCAAGGGGAATTATAATGCTTCCACATAGAGCAGCACTGTTCTATGTGTCTTTCCTTGTTAACTAATTTTTTTGTAATATTTACACACACACACGGATTACTTCTATCATACCGATTGGTTTGTTTAACTCATTGACGTCATGAAGTCATCTTTAAGAAACAAAAAGGTACAGGTTTTACAAGCACATCTGTGGATAAATTGTTCATAAAAATCCTTTAATTTCTTCTTCTTCATTTCTTCTAAAGTGTTGATCTAAATTGCAGTCTTTAATCTCTTCAGAAATCATTTTGTTTTTGAGTTATATATATACTTGCATTTTTGTCAGTGCCATGTGCATCACTTTGTGTATTTTCCAATGTTTATATCTTTTCAGATTTATAATGGCAGAGCTGATTCAAACAGAGAAAGCCTATGTACGAGACCTACGGGAGTGTATGGATGTAAGTATTGTAACGGACACGAGTCTTCACTAAACAGCTGAAAACGCATCTTTTTAAACTTTCTCATAGGTAGCTTTTTGTTCATATTTTTTACTCTTTTTGTTGTGAAGCACTTTGATGTTTACCTTGAAAGGTGCAATATAAATAAAACTTTAGGCATTTCAATCTTTGTTCTTGGATTATGACAATATTTTTTATTTAAAATGATTTCCATTTGGTTACACTGCCAGTACTTTTTCTTTAAGCTAGACACAAGTCTAGGTGATGAATTAATTATTCTGTGGCGTGCGCGTCTGTGCAGACCTACCTGTGGGAAATGACCAGCGGCGTGGAGGAAATTCCTCCTGGTATTGTCAACAAGGAACACATCATTTTTGGGAACATGCAGGATCTCTATGAGTTTCATCACAAGTCAGTAGTGCATTATTTTGTGACACTTTGTTTTCCTTACCATCAATATCGGTTGATTTAAAAAAAAAAATCATTGTTAGGTGCAGTGAATCCACAGTTTGACCCTGAAATTTAAAACTCTACCTTTTCCTCTTTCTGTACAGTATTTTCCTGAAGGAGTTAGAAAAGTACGAGCAGCTTCCAGAAGATGTCGGCCATTGTTTTGTAACCTGGGTAAGAGATAAAGTTGCACCTTAGTAATTTGTTTCTTTCCACACTATGTTAAATGCTAAAACATGACATAGTACAATAGTCCATTTCTTCTAAAAAGGTTTATGTTTTATCCATATCTCTGGATTTCTTGTGAATAAATACTGCTGTTATTTTTCCTGCTAAGGCTGATAAGTTTCAGATGTATGTGAACTACTGTAAGAACAAGCCAGATTCAACTCAGCTCATCGTGGAACATGCTGGACCCTACTTTGATGTAAGATATTACCAACAGCATTAATCTTTTCTGTTCATCTTCAGGGAGTAGAAATATTAAATTTGCATTTTATATCTGAAATTGACTCACTTCGAATCATAATTAATTTAACTCTCATGGTTTCTCTGTGTGCCGCATGATTTAGAATGAATGAAGCACTTTCCTGTAAAAGTGTCTCTTTCCTTTTTCAATTTACAGGAAATTCAACAAAGACATCGTCTCGCAAACTCTATCTCCTCTTACCTGATCAAGCCAGTCCAAAGAATCACAAAATACCAGCTGCTTCTAAAGGTAGAGCATACATTTAAATGAATCTTAAGAAAGTTTTGTATTTAAATGCCACTGGATTGACATGTTTGTGTGCTCCACTGTAGGAACTGTTAACATGCTGTGAGGAAGGAAAAGGGGAGATCAAGGATGGCCTGGAAGTGATGCTCAGTGTCCCCAAGAGAGCCAACGATGCCATGCACCTCTCTATGCTGGAGGGTGTGTATACATATGTGTACATCTGCTAGTATGATTTTCTTTGCTTGTCTGTATCCAGTGACTAAACTGTCACTTTGCTTTTTTGAGAGAAAACGAAATATGTTGCTCACTTTTATAGTCAGTTGTATTTCTGACTCAGCTGTGAGTCAGATGTAAATTATTTCAACTTGCCTCCTACAAACATATTTGCATTTACTGCAGAAACAAGAAAGCACCCTTAGGTGATTCTTCCCTGCTTTTCCCTTCACTACCTCAGGATTTGATGGAAACATCGACTCCCAGGGAGAGCTGATACTCCAGGAGTCCTTCCAGGTCTGGGATCCTAAGACTCTGATCCGGAAGGGTCGGGATCGACACCTCTTCCTCTTTGAGATGTCTCTGGTCTTCAGCAAAGAAGTGAAAGACTCCAATGGGCGCAGCAAATACCTCTACAAGAGCAAGCTCTTTGTAAGAATTGTTTTATCCGGCTGTACTGAGTGGATCCACGCCAGGTCCTCCGAGACACCTGTTGTTTTTATCTGGGTTACAAGGCTGTTATCACGTATGCCTCTGTGATGGCAACGGTTGTGGCTGGAGACAGAACGCTTCTCAGTTGCCCCTACTTCTATGAGTCAGCCTGTTTGTCAGCCGCTCCCACTTTGAACTTGATATGTCTTGAACACCTCGAAGGAATTCTTTCAAATCGTACCATTCACTGTGACCTTGGCCATAACGCTGAATATGTCTAAATTAGACACAACTGCATATAAAAATAATATGAAGTAATGATAAAGATGTTAAGTCTTAAAAAACTTAGCAGAAGAATGCAACTGTAGGATGGTAGATCTGAGATATTTTTATATTTCGTCTAATTTTTTTGCACATTTTTCATCTCATCAGACGTCAGAGCTTGGAGTGACAGAACATGTGGAGGGAGATCCTTGCAAGTTTGCCCTCTGGTTGGGGAGGACCCCAACCTCAGACAACAAGATTGTTCTGAAGGTATGAAGATGTTGACTTCGATGGGTTATGGAAAGAGTCATTGCATTCATATTTATTTTAACAGTATTTTAAGATTAACCAACAGATTTACTGAAACCCTTGAATATTATAACAGATCTGAAGTAATCCTCTTGCAAAAAAGCTTTGGCTCTTCTAGCATTGTTACTATAAAGTTGTGTGAATAAAGTTTTCATAGTACACTGTACTATACAGTACAGTGAAAAACTAAGTACACCCTTACTGCTTCCATGAGAAATAAGAGAGTAAAAAGCAGCCAAGTGCTGCTAATCACAAGTACTTGATTAAATGACCAGTGAATGTGAGCACTTCCATAAAGCCAGCTGTTTGAGTGTTGAAGTGTGTGTTAACGCAATCTTCCCAAGAGTGGCTATCACAGCAAATTCAAACTAAGAAACTAAGGTCAGATTATGCTCAAACTTAAAGTTCAGCTGGAAAATAGCTGAACAAGTGTGGCTTGTGCTGA